GCTATTACCTTCTTCCTGTCTGATTCCCCTTCCTTTCCTGTCTCCTCCTCCCACCTCCTCTCTGTGCCTGCCCTCCTATTCTCCCAGTCTCTCATTCCCTCCTCCCCCTAGGCACAGCTGTTTGGCTCACTCTATATATAGCGGCATTTTCAGGGTAATTACAATAAAACTGTTGAAAGGAGATAATCCAGCAAAGGAAGCCAGTCTGATTCCCAGCCCCCTCCTGTCCCTGGCTTGGTGCAGCGCTGCACCCCCTTCCCCTGAGGCCTCCTGCTCCCACCTCACCCCCATTTCCATAGCCTCTCCTTTCAGCTCCCATAGCTGGGCGTGGGGAAGAGAAAACGGAAGCGGGTAGGGATGTCTAGAGGGTCCCCAAGGGCCTCTCCTGGGTGTACTGAGGGCCCTGGCGGCCAGTCCTGTCATTTCTAGAACTGACCTCTGTGCCTCAGTGTCTCTTCTAGAACAGACTTTCTGGTGGGGAGTGTGTGGTGGTGAGAGGTGAGGGAGGAGGCACAGGAAGGACAGGAGTTCTATCCTGGTTCATCGGTCACCTTGCTGTCTGTCAGTGGTCATGTTAATTAGTTAAACCTCCTGAAACCTCAGTTTCCTCATCAATAAAGTAATTCATATAAAACACCCAGTGGCATTAACTCTCAATGACAGTAGCACGTTCTGAGCACTCAGTCTTCGCGGTACTGTGCTTCATGCTTATGCATCTTTTCTTATTGAAGTTTATGGGTTCAACCTCATTTAACGGAGGCAGAAGGCTGTATCCCCAGAGCAGAGGGATTTGACTTCCCATCTCTCTGTTCTCTCTTGGTTCAGTCGTCCTTCCTGCCTGATAGTTCTCTGGGTGCCGGGCATGGCTGCCAGGGCTTAGTGGGGTCTGGCATCAGGCCTCCTGACCCCTTTCTGTCTCTTCTCCCCGCAGTGGAGGTGAAGCCGGTGTTGCCAGGAGCCATGCCTAGCTCCATGGGTGGCGGGGGTGGAGGCAGCCCCAGCCCAGTGGAGCTGCGGGGTGCTCTGGCAGGCGCTGTGGACCCTGCACTGCGGGAGCAGCAGCTGCAGCAGGAGCTCCTGGCGCTCAAGCAGCAGCAGCAGCTGCAGAAGCAGCTCCTGTTCGCTGAGTTCCAGAAACAGCACGACCACCTGACACGGCAGCATGAGGTGCAGCTGCAGAAGCACCTCAAGGTGAGCGAGCGGGGTGCGGGGGGGCCACCCAGACCTCTGACCCCCGCCGGGACCTGCTCACCCTGCCTCCCCCCGCCCCCGCCCCTGTGTCTTTGCAGCAGCAGCAGATGTTGGCAGCCAAGAGGCAGCAGGAGCTAGAGCAGCAGCGGCAGCGGGAGCAGCAGCGGCAGGAGGAGCTGGAGAAGCAGCGGCTGGAACAGCAGCTGCTCATCCTGCGGAATAAGGAGAAGAGCAAAGAGAGTAAGGCCCGGGGCCTCCTGGGGCCAGCCAGGACTCCTGTTCGTCTCCCCCAGGCCGTGGGGTCCTGGCCCGAGCACCCAGGTCAGCTGTGCCCTGTCCCACAGGTGCCATCGCCAGCACCGAGGTGAAGCTGAGGCTCCAGGAATTCCTCCTGTCGAAGTCAAAGGAGCCCACGCCAGGCGGCCTCAACCATTCCCTCCCGCAGCATCCCAAATGCTGGTAATGACCTTTGGCAGGCATGGGTCGCAGAGATGCCCTGCTCAGGGGCCGCCTGCCTGCAGGCTAGAAAGAGGTCCCTGACCTAAAGCCATATATGGACCCTGCAGTCCCTCCTAGGAAATCCCACTCCTGGTTTCTCTCACTTCCCTCATCAGGATCCATTTCTCTATCGCTGCACACAGGGGGTATTCATAAACGTAGAATGCTAGTTGACAGGTGATGCCTTAGGGTCTGTCTCTGTCCCCTAGGGGAGCCCACCATGCTTCTTTGGACCAGAGTTCCCCTCCCCAGAGTGGCCCCCCTGGGACGCCTCCCTCCTACAAACTGCCTTTGCTTGGGCCCTATGACAGCCGCGATGACTTCCCCCTCCGCAAAACAGGTAAGGGCCTAGCCTGGCCTCCCGGAATATGGCTCCTGGGAGGAGGAGGGCGGGGCTGTAGTGTGTGCCCATTTGTGTGGATGTGTCTGAGCCCTGGCCACCCTCTCCCCAGCCTCTGAACCTAACTTGAAAGTGCGTTCAAGGCTAAAGCAGAAGGTGGCCGAGCGAAGGAGCAGTCCCCTCCTGCGTCGGAAGGATGGGACTGTCATTAGCACCTTTAAGAAGAGAGCTGTTGAGATCACAGGTGCCGGGCCTGGCGGTAAGGACTCCTTCCTGTCCCTGTTCGGAGGGCCTGGGAGTGGAGGTGGCTCCCAGCAGGCCTAGCTGACAGCCACTTCTCCCGCAGTGTCATCCGTGTGTAACAGCGCGCCAGGCTCTGGGCCGAGCTCCCCCAACAGCTCCCACAGCACCATCGCTGAGAACGGCTTCACTGGCTCAGTCCCCAACATCCCCACCGAGGTACAGGCCTGTGGGGTGGGGGGGAGGGAGGGGGCCTGAGGTACCCCTTTTCCCTTGGAAGCAGGACGGCAGCTCCTTCCCATCTGTCTTGCTGGAGTGCCCAGCAGGGACCTCTCTTCCCATGTAGACAGGCTGGAGAGACCTGGGCCCTGGGGTGGGATATGCCCCACGGGCCCCTGCAGGGCTGTGGCTCTTGGCCCGTCCCCAGGTGGGGCTTGGTAGCGGGGAGCAGGGCACCATTCAGAGCCCTCAGTCTCAGCCCCAAAGTGGCCCCCCTTTGCCTGCGCTCATGCCTGTCTCTCCCGACTGCTCCCCAGATGCTCCCCCAGCACCGGGCCCTCCCTCTGGAAAGCTCTCCCAACCAGTTCAGCCTCTACACGTCTCCCTCTCTGCCCAACATCTCCCTAGGGCTGCAGGCCACAGTCACTGTCACCAACTCGCACCTCACTGTAAGTATGGGCACGCACCGTCCTCTCGGTGTTGGGTTCTTTCGTCCTGGATGTCCCCAGCCAGAGCTTTGGTCCTCCAGGCCCTGAGGGAGATCAGAGACACACCTCAGCTGGGAGGTGGGCAGGGGTAGGTGAGGGGTGCCAGTCCGGAGCTGGAAGGAGGGGGCCGTATCAGCTCCTCCCTCATCCCTCATCGGTCTCCCCTCTCCTCCCCAGGCCTCCCCGAAACTCTCAGCACAGCAGGAGGCTGAGCGGCAGGCCCTTCAATCCCTGAGGCAGGGCGGCGCACTGACCGGCAAGTTCATGAGCACATCCTCTATCCCCGGCTGCTTGCTGGGCGTGACACTGGAGGGCGACTCGAGCCCCCACGGGCACGCCTCTCTGCTGCAGCACGTACTGTTGCTGGAGCAGGCCCGGCAGCAGAGCACCCTCATCGCTGGTGAGTGGGCAGGCAGCTGTACAAGGGAGGAGGGTCAGGCCCCACTTCTGGGGCTCAAGGCAGGACCATCAGGGAGAAGCAGTCAAGGATTCTTTCCAGCCCTGTCATAGCTGCCCTCAGTGGCATCATTGATTTCCTCCACAATCTGCAGCCTGCAGATGCTGTGCTCCGCAACCTCTGCGGCCGTGATGGCGCTCACGTTCCAGAGCCGCGCTGTCCAGGAGAAAGATAACACTAGCTATTTAGTTTTCTTGTAGCCGCATTAAGACGTATAAAAAGCAGGTGGAATTAATTTTAATAATATATTTAACTCCCTGTATCTAGAATATTATTTCAACATATAGTCAATACAAAGAGTTACCAGTGAGAGGTTTTAGTTTGTGTTTTACACTCTCCTGAAACCTGTGTGTGTTTCACACTCGGAGCACGTCTCAGTTTAGACAGGCCACAGTTCCAGTGCTCAGTGCTCACGTGTGGCTGGCAGCTGTGGGATTGGACAGCACAGCTTTGGACAGTCAGCCCTTAAGTAGCCAGTGGCATCAGAAGAGGTTCTGCTTAAAGACACGTGGTCCTGGCTCCCGGGCTCCCAGCCCAGGATCCATGCTCATGAGCAGGGAGGTCTTGTTGTAGATGGGAAGAACTAGTCGTTGTTTTCACTCACGTGGAGGGCCCAAGACTGTATGTGCAAACATGAGTGAATCAAAGGGAGAGAATGGAGAATCCAGGAAGGCTTGCTGGAGGCAGTGGCTCTTAGCTGTGCGACTGTTTAATGATGGGGAGGAGGAAGAATGGGGCTCAGATTTGGGGGCAGGCTGCTCCAGGCCCCTCCACAGTTTCTCCTGAGGGTATAGGTGGTGGTGTTCTAGGATGGGGAGGGTGTTGGGAGGGGATGAGGGGCCTGACAATAATGGTCACTACCCGCCCTGCACCTGACAGTGCCGCTCCACGGGCAGTCCCCCCTGGTGACGGGCGAGCGAGTGGCTGCCAGCATGCGGACGGTGGGCAAGCTCCCGAGGCACCGGCCCCTGAGCCGCACTCAGTCCTCGCCGCTACCCCAGAGCCCCCAGGCCCTGCAGCAGCTGGTCATGCAGCAGCAGCACCAGCAGTTCCTGGAGAAGCAGAAGCAGCAGCAGCTGCAGCTGGGCAAGGTGAGCCGGGAGAAGCGAATGTGCAGGGCTGTGCTGGGGGCAGGACCAGGCGGACAGGAAGGGAGAGGGGGCTGACACCGTAGGCCGCTCCCTGGTGCCCCATCTGCTCAGAGGAGCCACCTTGCCTTTTTCTAATTCACATAGCTCTGTAAGGGCTGGGTGGCTGCAGGGGGGAGGGGAGGGAAGGATTGACCCTCCTGGGCCACAGATTGCACGGCTGCTCCCCCTCCCAGCGGATGCGCTGTCTCTGCTCTGCACCCAGATCCTCACGAAGACTGGGGAGCTGCCTCGCCAGCCCACCACCCACCCCGAGGAGACAGAAGAGGAGCTCACAGAGCAGCAGGAGGCCTTGCTGGGGGAGGGAGCCCTCACCATACCCCGAGAAGGCTCCACGGAGAGTGAGAGCACGCAGGAGGACCTGGAGGAGGAGGAAGGGGAGGAGGAAGAGGAGGAGGAGGATGAGGAGGAGGAGGAGGACTGCATCCAGGTCAAGGATGAGGAGGGCGAGAGTGGCGCTGAGGAGGGACCTGACTTGGAGGAGTCCAGAACTGGTTACAAAAAGGTGCCCCCTCCCCCAGGCCTTGATCACCATCCCTCTGTCCTTCCTCCTCTCCACCCTGCCTTCCCCTCTCCCAGTCTGCAGCGCCCAGGCTGTGCAGGGCCAGCTTTCTGAAGAGAGCAAAGAGAGTAGGAAAAGACAAAGAGCTGTGGAAGGGAGGCACTGCTGGTGTTGGTCTCAGAGCCGGCAGTACCAGCCGCCAACCCCTCCCTGCCTCTGTCTGTGATCGCCCCCGCCTGTCTGCTTGTGTGTGTTTGTACGTACGTGGCCGTATCTGCATTTCTGCCTGCGTAGGATCGGTTGTGCGTTGGTCCCTGTGTGTGCATGTGTGCGTGTGTACACACACACCCTCACTGTTACTACAGTATGCCCTGTGCCTAGTGCGCACTTCATTCATTGCGGCCACAGCTGAGCCCCCGGGGCCTGACTCATCCCACCCCTCCCACACACTTACCTCAATGCTACTCTGGCATGACTCATCACTGTCCTCCCATCCCTCCCCTTCTCCTGGGAGAGGAGACAATGAAGGCTGGAGTTTCTTCTGTTCCCGGAGGGAGGGGTGGGGGTGGGGGGGAAGGTTTAGAAGGGCTGGCTTGGGGACCCTCCTGGAGGCCCCAGCATACCTGTCCTTACATCTGTCTCAGGCCAAGCCTCACCTAGGCTCCCTCCTACTCTCCTCCTTCCCAGGTATTCTCAGATGCCCAGCAGCTGCAGCCACTACAGGTGTACCAGGCACCCCTCAGCCTGTCCACTGTGCCCCACCAGGCCCTGGGCCGAACCCAGTCCTCACCTGCTGCTCCTGGGGGCATGAAGAGCCCCCCAGACCAGCCCACCAAGCACCTCTTCACCACAGGTGAGCCCCACTGCTGCCGACTGTCCTTCCTCCTCGTGCCAGGGGCCTGTGCATGGCATTCAGCCTGGTGGGAATCGTGAAGAGAGACAGTCCCTGCCCTGAGGGATTGCCAGGGCCCTCAGAGTGCCCTGCAGGGAGGGAAATGAGGCCTTCGTCCTCTCCCTGTGCGCCACCAGCCACCTGTGGTCGTGGGGGCATCCTCTGCCCCACGGCGAGGGAGCCTGGTGATCCCGTCCATACCCCCTGGGGTCGCGTCTGCTGAGGGACCCCACCCACTACTGCTGAGGGACCCCCTGATTTTGTGCTATCACCGCACAAGCCCTCCAGTGGGTGGAGAGCGCCCACTGTCTCAGTCGGATCCTGCCCCTCCAGCTTCCCCCATCTCCCTGTGAGGGCAAGAGTGAGGCCTCTGTCCATTCTAGAAAGCCCTTCCACTTGACGCCGCCCTGTGCTGGGGCCACCGCTGCCTGAGGATGGTCTCACCTTTATATTGACTATATGTTGAAGTGATAATAATGGCCACAGGTGGGGAGTGGGGTCGGGGGAGCAGCACACAAGGCTGTGACAGGAGTGGGGAAAGGAGGATGTGCCATGAGGGTACGGTGCTGGGGGCATAGTGGGCAGAGATAAAATCCAGTGGGGGTGTCAAGGGCAGCCTCGGTGAGGTTTGAGGAGCAGGAGGTTTGGACAGGCAGTCATGGAGGAAAAAACTTCAGGAGGAGAGAAGAGGGGGGTGTGTGTGGGAGGGTATTGCGGTGGCTGGATCACATGGCCCAGGGCAGAGCTGACCGACAGGTATGTCTCTGGCTCAGGCGTGGTGTATGACACATTCATGCTGAAGCACCAGTGCATGTGCGGAAACACACACGTGCACCCTGAGCATGCCGGCCGGATCCAGAGCATCTGGTCCCGGCTGCAGGAGACGGGCCTACTCAGCAAGTGTGAGGTAAGGGAGCCCCTCCTTCCTCAGCCCCCGACTCAAACGTGCGAAAGCCCTTCTGTCTCCCTGTTGGTGAAGCCTCTTTCCGTGTCTCTGTACAACCCCTGACCTCAGGGCCAGTCCCCCCATCCCTACAGCCTGTCTTCCCCTATGGCCCCCCACTGAAGCGGGGAGGGTCCTGGCTTGGGGGTCCCCAGGGGCGGGAGGGGCGGGGGGAGGGGTAGGTTATATTTTCTCAAAAGCCTTTGGATCTCCTGAGGTCAGAAGTGGCTCCATGTGCCCCAGGCTGTGGTGCAGAGAGAGGGTCTGGGCTTCAGGGAGAGCTGGACCTTCATGCCACCCTTCTCCTCATCTCCCCTGCCAGCGGATCCGCGGTCGGAAAGCCACGCTGGACGAGATTCAGACGGTGCACTCTGAGTACCATACCCTGCTCTATGGGACCAGCCCCCTCAACCGACAGAAGCTGGACAGCAAGAAGCTGCTTGGTGAGTCAGCAGGCTGACGGGCAGGGGTGGGCCAGGCCTTCTCCGCTGCCTGGGTGGGATAGGGGGCTGTCAGGAAAACTGCTCGGCCAGGGTAGGCAAGTGGGTCCTGTTGAGCACAGGTCACCCCCAAGGCAGAGGTGGTACAGGCCGTATTGCATGCCTCCAAGGGGCTCCATTCAGGTAGAATATGACATCATCAGAGCATGCTGGTGGAAGGCGAGGGGTCAGGCTTGGTGATGGGGGAGTGTTTTGCTCTTCTGTCCCTTTCTCCCCGCTGTCTGCCCCAGAGGCAGGATGTACCCCCAGAACAGGGCACAGACATCTCCCAACTGGTATGGGCTGCAGAAGCCTGTCGTGTGCTTGGGTCTTTTTCTATGACTGAGCTCACTGCCCTTTGCGCACCCCAACCTACAGCCTTGGCAGTGGAGTAGCTCTGTTTCTCTTCCCTGCAGGCCCCATCAGCCAGAAGATGTACGCCATGCTGCCTTGTGGGGGTATCGGGGTGAGTAGGGCACCTACCGGTGGGGGTTGGTGAATGGTTCTCCCAATTTTGACCCCTCCCTCCTGCCCAACATAGCTGCTGGCTGTCCAAGTGCCCATCCCCATTCTTGCCCTCCCCCTGCAGGGGGCACGCTGAAGCCTGCTCTCCTGCCCCTGCAGGTGGACAGTGACACTGTATGGAATGAGATGCACTCCTCCAGTGCTGTGCGCATGGCGGTGGGCTGCCTGGTGGAGCTGGCTTTCAAGGTGGCAGCTGGAGAACTTAAGGTGAGTACTGGCAGGGGGAGCTAAGCACTGCTTGGCTTGGTCTTGTATCTTCAGGAGCCGAGAATGGGGCAGCCTTAGCTTTCTCTTCAGGAAGGCATGGTTCTTTGCAACCTCAACTTTCAGGTGCCAGAGTGGCGGGGGAGGTGACAGTTCTAAGGCCAGCTGGGGGATGAGGGGTAAAGAGGGACCAACAAAGTGGCACTAGTGTCTGGTGCTCTCATGGGCATCTCAAGAGCTGGGATGGTCTGCCTGTCTGCCCACGTGGCCCACAGCTGGCCACAGGTGTGTATGATACATGTTTCTGACCTGTGTTTTCTTCCCTGCTTGGCTTATGTTTCTGTCCTTCTTTGTCCACCCCTCTGTGGCCACCTTGCCTGCCTGTCTGTCTCTTACCTCTCTCCCCTGGTCTGCACCTTTTCAGAATGGATTTGCCATCATCCGGCCCCCAGGGCACCATGCTGAGGAATCCACAGCCATGTGAGTGCCACCCCAGCTCTGCACTGGACCTGAAGTCCTCACCCCTTTCCCCCTCACCAAGGTGATGCAAGTATCCTGCTCATGGAGCAAACCACTGACCTCCCCGCCCTTTCCTCCCCCTTCCCTCAGGGGATTCTGCTTCTTCAACTCTGTAGCCATCACAACCAAACTCTTGCAGCAGAAGCTGAACGTGGGCAAGGTTCTCATCGTGGACTGGGTAAGCAGTGAGCTGCCAGGGCCAGGGTCACCCTTCAGGAAGCCCCCACCCAACCCTGCCTCCGCTTCCTCGGGTGCCCACGCTGGAGCTGGGCCTGATGGCTTCCTTTACATCTTCCGTCTGGAGCATTAGCCCAACCCTCCATTCCCTCGGGACTCCCTCCTCACTAGGAGACTCGAAAGTGGTTTTAGCCCCTGGTCCATCTTGGCCCCCACCTTGCAGCTTCAAGTAACTGAAAGGACTTCCTACCTTGAACCGTAGAGACCAACACCACCGTAATATCACGGCACAGTGTCCCCACGCCACCTTCTGTAGGAAGGAAGAATTAGGATGTCCATTTCTACATATGGAGACACTGAGCTGTTGGGTGACTTACCCAGCCAAGGTCGCTTAGTTGGGGAGGTTGGCACTGGGTTTCACATCAGGCCTTCTGGCCCCAACACTTGTACTCTTGCTCCTACACAGTGCTTCTCAAACCCTGTCTCTCCCGGCGAAGGGAAAGGCACCCACCACTCCCTGTGAGCTGGGGAAGTAGCCATGAGCAATCCTCATCAAGGGTGACATCTCTTTGAAGACCAACTTTGGCTTCAAAATTGTTAATGTTGGATTTTTCTTCAGAATGTATCTATTTGTGTTTTTTTAAAAAAATATATTTTTATTGATTTCAGAGAGGAAGGGAGGGAGAGAGAGAAACATCAGTGAGAAAGAATCATTTGATTGGCTGCCTCCTGCACACCCCACCCTGGGACTCCATCCTGCAACCCGGGCATGTGCCCTGATCGGGACTCGGACCATGACCTGGTTCACAGGTCGATGCTCAACCACTGAGCCATGCGGGCTGCGCTGTATCTGTCTGTTTTCCAATGCTTACCAGCCTTAACGTTGCCCTCCCTCCACACTGTTGTATAGAATGGGCCCTCGGGGAGAGTAGCCACATTCGCCTCATGGCTTTGCAGCTACCCTGCACAGATCCCGGTTAGAGAAGCATGGGGTGATACTGTTGTGAACAGAACACAGATGCCCTGTAGCTAGTGGTGGGCTGTACCCCAGGCTCACCATATTCGGGGGGGAGGGGTGACAAGTGGAATTTTTACCTTTGGGAGCCCGGGCCCTTTTCCTGATGCTTTCACTACTTCCACCAGGACATTCACCATGGCAATGGCACCCAGCAAGCGTTCTACAATGACCCCTCCGTGCTCTACATCTCCCTGCATCGCTATGACAATGGGAACTTCTTTCCAGGCTCCGGGGCTCCTGAAGAGGTACAGCTCCTGGGCCCAAATGTGGGGCCCCTTGGGGAGGTAGCAGAATGGGACCTGGCAGGGAGTCCTGGAGGCCCTTGGTGGTGCTGGTACCTGGGGAGTCTGGGCTCCTAGTGGGAGGACCACACCGGCCAACTGCCCTTCCATGCAGAGCAGAGGTCAGTGGAGTGAGGGCTGGAGGTAGGGCTGAGGGTGGGGGCAACTTCTGGGATCCCTAGGCAGTGAGAATAACCCCTCCCCCACCGTGCTGCCAGGTTGGCGGAGGGCCGGGCATGGGGTACAATGTGAACGTGGCATGGACGGGAGGTGTGGACCCCCCCATCGGAGACGTGGAATACCTAACAGCCTTCAGGTGAAGACTGAGAAGGGCCAAGGGAGGGGTGGGAGCCCCCGGGCCCTGCCGTGGGAGGGGTAGAGACACTCAGTTTGGTGTAGGTGGAGGGGGTTGTCTTGGGGGGCACAGTGGGGCGAGGCCTGGCTCAGCCTCCTGCCAGGGTCAGCTTGGACCCTCCCTTTGCAGGACAGTGGTGATGCCCATTGCCCACGAGTTCTCACCTGACATGGTCCTAGTCTCCGCCGGGTTTGATGCTGTTGAGGGACACCTGTCTCCGCTGGGTGGCTACTCTGTCACCGCCAGATGTGAGCCTGCTGGGGGATGAAGGGAGGCTGTGGGCCAGTAAGGATGGGGTCAGGTGGGGGTGTGGAGCAGGTATAGACCGATACTGCACAGTTGGGAGGAGAGCTGGGGCAGGGCCAAGACTTGCAGTAATCCTGGCAGTGCCCCTAGTCTCCCTCTGCCAGTCCTGGCCTTGAGAGGCAAGCAAGGAGGGAGGTGGGGGGAATAGCAGCGGTGTATCTCCCCCTGGAGTCCTCGGCGTGGAGCTTGTCGGTCCATCCTCTCAGTGGTGTTCTTTAAAAGACATCTGATTGCTTTTTTTAAGCTTGTCTGTTACGTTTTGTCTTTAATGGAGCATTTAGTCCACTGGCATTACATTTTATTATTGGTACATACACACGTTTGAGTGTAAGGCTTCCATCTTATTTTGTGCTGTTTGTCCCACTTCTTGTTTCTGCTTCTCTCCTTTCTTACCTTCTCTTGAATTCTTTTTTTTTTTTTTTTTTTTTTTTCACTTTTCTTTTAACTTTTTTTTTTTTTTTTTTTTTACCATTTCATCTCTCTTCACTCATCCCTAAAGGTTTTGGCCACTTGACCAGGCAGCTGATGACGTTGGCAGGGGGCCGGGTGGTGCTGGCCCTGGAGGGAGGCCACGACTTGACCGCCATCTGTGATGCCTCTGAGGCCTGTGTCTCGGCTCTGCTCAGCGTGGAGGTGAGGGGTGGCTGGAGGGGCTGGGGGTGTGGGCCAGTAGGCCAGCGTCGGAGAGGCTGGGAGGAAGGGCCCCTTCCTGGGTCAGGCAGTACCGAGGGCCCTTGGGAAGGTTTCCTGGGTCCTGAGGACAGCTAGAGGCCAGGAGGAATTTTCTGAGCGGGGTTCCTCCTATCCTGAGAGATGTCTGAGGCTGAATGGGGTGGTTAGAAGGTGCAGGCACCACCACCCATTCCCCACCCTAAGCCTTCTCTTCTTTCTACTGCCAGCTACAGCCCTTGGATGAGACAGTCTTACAGCAAAAGCCCAACATCAACGCCGTGGCCACGCTAGAGAAAGTCATTGAGATCCAGAGTACGTGGGGACAAGTGGAGGGGCCCAGACCTTACCAGCGGGGCGGAGCTGAGGGGTGTGCCAGGGGGGATGAACAAACTCATAGGGTGGTGTTTGCCCTCCCTCACCTCCTGCGCGTCTCTCACCCACAGGCAAACACTGGAGCTGTGTGCAGAGGTTTGCTGCTGGTCTGGGTCGTTCCCTGCGGGAGGCCCAGGCGGGGGAGACGGAGGAGGCCGAGACAGTGAGCGCCATGGCCTTGCTGTCCGTGGGGGCCGAGCAGGCCCAGGCGGCGGCAGCCAGGGAGCACAGCCCCAGGTGAGGCTCCTCCCACCTCTGCCCTCCCCCACGCCGGGGACCCCACTCAGTGCCCCTCCATGTGCTTGTCCCCACAGGCCAGCAGAGGAACCGATGGAGCAGGAGCCCGCCCTATGACGCCCCGGCCCCATCCTCTGGGCTTCATCATTGTGATTTTGTTTATTTTTTCTATTAAAAACAAAAAGTCACACATTCAATGACGTGTGCCGTGTGGGTCTCTCAGCCTCGCCCCTCCTGCTCCTCTAAGCTGTCTCAGGCCCCCTCCCCTGTAGCCCACATCTCAGCTCTAGAAGTTTGCTTCCTCTGTAGGATATGGAGCTACCTTCTGCAGCCTCTCCCCATGTGGTATTTAACACCCCCTTTCCCAAATTCTCTCCTTTTCCCCCTTGGAGCCTGGGCCAGCTCAACGTGGGGAGGGGCCAGATAGTACCTTTTGTTTCTGGAGTCTCCCTGAGTGAGGACGGAACAGGAAGTTTGGTGCCTTGGTTTCAGCTGACTTGGGGGGGGGGAAATGCCTTAATTTCACCCTCCTCTCTAGCCTTGGGAGGTCCTGAAGGGTCTCTCTACCGTCTAGGACAGGGGTTCTCAAACTACGGCCCGCGGGCCACATGCAAATACAAATATTGTATTTGTTCCCGTTTTGTTTTTTTACTTCAAAATAAGATATGTGCAGTGTGCATAGGAATGTGTTCATAGGTGTTTTTTTTAAACTACAGTCCGGCCCTCCAACGGTCTGAGGGACAGTGAACTGGCCCCCTGTTTAAAAAGTTTGAGGACCCCTGGTCTAGGATGTAGAGTGGAGGGGAGGTGGGCTCCTGCCCACCGATTCCCCACCCTTTTCCCCACTCTGTTGTCCTCACTGGCCCCCTACAGACGGCTTTCTCCTCCGCCTTTCTCCTGGCCTCAGCACCGAAGGGAAGGCTGATGCCCTGGGATGTGGCCTGGAGTCTGTGGGCAGGGCTGTCTTGCTTTACGTTCCTTAGGGGCTATTTCCCCTTCCAGGGGCTGGAGTGGGTGGGGGGGATGGGGCTGGACGCCTGGGTTATGAGGGGCCTGGAAGAGCCTCAACTCCAGGCCTGCTTTCCAACTTACTCTGTTGGCCTTCCTGCCCCTCTGCTGGCACAGACTGGGGAGGGGAAGAAGGTGGTCCCTGCAGGGGGCACTGTAAGCTGGTGAGAGTGCCCCTGCTGTTCAGGACCAGATCTCCCTAGTCACCCAGCATGCTGCAGGCAGAGGGTTCGTGGCCCCCCTCTCTCCTGGGACCTCTTGCTTTGAGGCCTGGGGATGGTGAGAATGGGGGCTCTAGAAGGATCAGGGCCAGAACCAGAAACACGGGTCTGCCCTCAGCTGGAGCTTCCACTCCTCCTGGGCTTCCTTGGTGGGCCACCAGCCCAAGGAAGCTAAGATAGGAGTGGGTGCCACCCCTTCTCTTTCCCAGAAGCCCAGCCTAGTCCCATTTTGGGGGCTGGGGCCCCACAAGGCTTCTAGGGAATGCTGTCCAGCCTATAGGAAACCAAAGATGGGAAGTGGCTCCTAGGGGGTGAGTCTTCCTCTCTCCTCCTTCCCAATACCACATACACTTTTTTCTTCCCATCCTTGGGCCCCACCAATCTGTTTACATATTTATTACCCCGACGGGGTCTGAGCAGGGTTGAGGGAGTCAGGGGAGGGGCAGGAGTCCCACCACCATCAATCCATTGTGCACTTGTCTTATGTGTTGTGTGTCCTAGGTCCTCCTGGGGGATGATGGATTGGGCTGGGCTCAGTGTCAGGCCTCCCCATGCTGAGCCCCAGCTCTGGACCCCGTACCTCCCATCTTCCCGTGGCTGGTCTGGTTCTCATGTAAACCCACTCCTCGCTTTGTCTCCTGGATATGGTTTCCAGTTAAAGTATTTTGTAACCCATAACATTGTGTGTCCTTGTGTAAATAAATTTGTTTCTGGCAGTGCCTTCTGGAGCTAGTGTCTCTGTCTTCTGGGCTCCCAAATGGAGCAGAGGTTCTTGTTTCCCCTCTTGGCCAAAAAAACTGCTCTTCTCTCCAGCCCCTGGACTAACCAGCTTAGGAAACAGGAGGCTGGGTGCATCTCTGTCCAGTAGGTTAAAGACAAGGTTTCACTGAAGGTAGCCACAGCACCACATAAGACCTCTCAAGTGGCCGAGGTGGTGATGGTGCCCAGGGCTGAAGGTCTCAAATGAATTTACAGCCTCCCCTCTCCTTTTGACTCTCTGCCTCTGTGGAAACAGGGTTGGAACGGGGTGGAGAACTGGCGGGTCCAGCCAGGATCCCACTCGCGTGCACATGGACAAGTTTAATGGACATGTACACGTAGGTAAGAGAGCCCAGAAGTGTTTAAGGGCTTTCTTTATTGGGGCCACTCTGAGCCCCTCACAGTGTTGCAGGAACCCACTGGTCTTGCTCTTGCCTTTGCTTTTGGGGACTTGGAAAGGAGGGCGGGAGGAGGGCTAGCCTTTCTGGGAAAGGGAAGGCCCTTCTTTGGCGCTAAGCCAGGTGGTGGGAGAAGTGGGAAATTCAAATGAGCAGGGCCTTTGGGGGGCTGGAAGAGGATGGGCTGCCTCCTGGAGTGTGGAGGTCACGGAGTGTTGGCTTTGAAGGAGGCACCAGTTATCAGGCCAGCCAACACCTGGTGAGGGAAATGTGCTAAGACGAAGATGCGGGACAGACCGATAGCCAGTAGGAAGGTGCAGTAAGCCAGGCTTGGCATCACCCTCACCCAGCGGCTGTGGGCCTGAGTGGCCACCTGGGAAGATTGGGTGGTGCTTCCTGGGCACTGAATGTGAGCACCACCCAGGGCACAAGGGCCAGGACCAAGCATGGCCAGAGGGTATATTTGAGGAAATTGAAGATGTAGAAAAGGCTGATCTGAGGTGGGTAGCCCAGCCAATTCAGGGGGCCCAGCAGCCCCATGGCCAACAGAAGGCAGGCTATCTTCTGTCCATTTCCCAGGTGTGCTCGCCGTACTGGGGCATAGCAGGGAGAGTGGAGAGCGATGCCCAGACCCAGGGCGGCCCCTGAATCCCGGCTCAGAGAGGCAAAGGGCCGGCTGTCCATGTGCACCCACTCAGGCCGCTCACACCACTTGGAGGCCAGGCTGATGGACCTGTTGGGAGGAAAAGTCTTTGCCAGGAGAGAGATCCCCTAGCCTAGAACCTAGAGAGCCAATGGCTCTCATCCCCATTGCGGCCGACTCCACCCCCATATTCCTCTGAGACCCCAGGACAGTCTATGTTTGTGACTAGGTAATGTGGCCTTTCTTAGTATAGTGAACCAGAGACCCACCAGGCCAGGTACAGGCAAGGCAGGACAGGCCAGCCTGCCCAGGCTTTAAAGCAGGACTTACCATGAAAGATCCAGGCCCAGTGTAACGAGGATCCAATAGATGAGGCTGGCACCCAGCAAGAGGCCCAGAGAAGTCAACCCATAGAAGCTTAGCTCCCGCTGTGCGGGCACCCGGGGGGTCATCAGCCAGCCCAGGACCGCACCTGAAGGAGTGGGGTGACAGCAGCTTCAATGTGTTTGGGGACATGACCCACCCTGAGCTACAATGCAGTTTGGCAAAACAGATTGGTCTTCCCACTGCCGACAGCACCCTCTGGGCCCATCCTGTTCCAGTTGCTCACCAGTTATCAGGCCAGCCAACACCTGGTGAGGGAAATGTGCTAAGACGAAGATGCGGGACAGACCGATAGCCAGTAGGAAGGTGCAGTAAGCCAGGCTTGGCATCACCCTCACCCAGCGGCTAGAAAGAAGAGAGGCAAATGGTCTAGGGCCGTGGTCGGCAAACCGTGGCTCGCGAGCCATATGCGGCTCTTTGGCCCCTTCAGTGGGTACATTCGCTGAGGCCGCCCCCTTCCAACTCTCCCATCCACACTCATCTTGTATACTTGTTTCAGATAGACGAGTGTGGATGGGAGAATTGGAAGGGGTCAACCTCCGCGAATGTACCTCAAAACAATGTACCTCCCCTGCTCTGGGTATCCCGCGGCCTGCCTGTGCTGCGTCTCCTGTCGCCCGACCGACCAACACCCCCCACTTCTAACGCCACTTCTTCAAAATAGACTCGCCCAGGCCGAAAACCGACTTCTGCACATGGGCCACGAAGGTTTAATCGCACTGTACGTATGTGGCTCGCGAGCCGCCGTTTGTCGACCACTGGTCTAGGGCAACAGTCGCCAACTGGTGGTGAGGTGTAAAAGTCTGGCGACCGCTGGTCTAGGGGATATCTGGATACAGTTTAGTTTCCCACAGCACACATGCCCAGGGTCTCCAGAACTCCAGCTCCCAAGCTGCCCTGTTGCTGGGCCTTTTGGGTCCAGGGTACCATTGCCTCTGACCCCACTGGTGGGCAATGCCCAGGCGTACCTGTGGGCCTGAGTGGCCACCTGGGAAGAGATGGCTGTCATTACGGGCCAGAGGGCTGCTCCTGTGATCATGCAGTGTCCAGAAGGGCTGCCTGTGGGGGAGACAGAAGCTTGTGGTGAGAGGATGGGGGTGGAACCCAGGTGTCCCTGGTGATGGCTCAACAGAGCTACCTCCCCGTGGTGATAAGAGAACCTTTCCCCAGCACTGTCCATAGCTCCCTCCACCCTGAAGCTTTCCTCACCCCTCCCTGTGGCCACTGCTCTCAGGTTTGGTCCTACTCTAAGCAAGGTGGGCAGCTGGCATACTGGCATAGGTGCTCTCCTCCCAGAATTCAACGTGGTCCTCCTAGAGCTTTTTTAATCCCTGGCCCAGTAATTGTGAGGTGGGCCTCTTAGTTGGGCCACCCTGGCTGAAAAGTACTTGAGATACTCACACGAATCCTAACTACACAGGAAAAGGGAGGTTTGAGGCTTCTTACCTGGACCAGTTTCACAAGAAGAGGGGAACTGGTGAACCTGGGCTGGGGCCTGGCGGTAATACCCAGACTCATGGACCCACCAAAATGGCCTGTCTCCAAAAAGGAACCTAGAGGAGAACAGATGCAAGATGATACTGTGCTCACATGGAGCCAGGTGGACAAGAGAGGGGCAAAACACCTGGGGGTACTCTAGAGAGAGTCAGAAAGGGAGTCCAGGCCTAGCTGGTGTGGCTCAGTGGGTAGAGTGTCAGCCTGCGGACTGAATGGTCCTGGGTTCAATTCCAGCAAAGGGCACATGCCTGGATTGAGTGCTTGATCCCCAGTAGAGAGCATGCAGG